AAAAAAAAAAAAATGAAAAACGAAAAACCTCGATCACACTTCACAAACGTTCCCAAAAAATACACATTACCATCGAATCCCTCCCAAGAAAGAATTCTTTCGTAGCCAAGAAGAAATGTTCGACAATCGACTCACCAGTGTAACACCAGGCCGGCCAGACAACAGGGCTCTCGGTGTCCAGCTCCCTCATTCTCTCAGCGACCCGCGGACATCTCCACTCCGTACGTCCCGACGTGGCGGTGAGTATGTCCAGTTTGATTCGGAACCCGGCCAACTTCCCTTCCGGCGAACAATCAACCCCCTCGACTCCCTCCGGTCGAACGAAACCTTCTTCACAAACTTTCTTCTTCCGTATACCTTCCGTGTATACAGCTCGAAACCAACCCCAATCTATCCCCAACTCGTCCACCAAAACCGCGATGCAGTATACCGAACCACCTGTTGAACGTCAGATCTTGATCACGCACGGCTCGCGAACAAGCGATCACTCTCTCGACCAGGTGGTGGTGAGAGCACGAAAAAAGATGGACCGTTTATTTATTTTTTCTTTTTCCTTCTCTCTTTTATCGACGAGTCGAGCGTCCAGCGGCCGGTTCCAAACGGCGGATAATAATAATAAGCACGGATAAGACGCGCGTGTCGATAAAGCACGGAAGAGGATTCGTCATCGAGGAGTGTGAGTGAGATTGTTACGTTGGAGAAGAAAAAAAAAAAAAAAAAAGAAGAAGAAGAAACGTAACGTGACGTGACGTTTAACCTGGCGATTTTTCCGAACACTGTGTGGGCTCCAGACCGTGTCCAAGGATCTCTCTTTCTCTCTCTTTCTCTCTCTCTCTCTCTCTCTCTCTCCGTTTCCGATGACGCGTGTTACGACGAAAAAGACGAGGCTCGTCGCCTCGAATCGCAAGGCTGGCGCGCGGTCGCGCACTAAATGTCACGGAAATGTCAATGGAGGAGTCGCGGCGGCGGACGTTTTGACACGTTCACCGGGTGTCCCCCCTTGGCTGGGGTCGGTTCCACCAGAGCCAGTAGTCTCGTAGTGCTCTCTCGTACGACGTCACTGATCCTCGTGGAGTTTCGAGGAGTTTGATACCCAAACTGGCACTGGCACTCGCGACGGTAAAAAAAAAAAAAAAAACTCTGCGTGGAAAAACTTGGCGCGGCGATCGTCGACGATCGTCGTCCGATCCTCGACTGACGCGGCGGCCAACTGGTCTATGCTGTCGCGTGGCGAACACCTCTCGAATACGCGCTCTGCTCCTCCTCGCCTTCGCCCGATCGTTGTTTCCACACGATTGTTTACACACGCGGAAACCTCGAGTCCGAGTGAAACGAGATCTTCCTTCCTTCCAAACCACCTTTTCTTTTCTCTTCTTTTTTTTTTTTCGTTTTTCTTTCTTTTTCCCTTTCTTTCTTTCTTTCTTTCTCTTTTTTTTTTCAAGTTTTCTTCCGTTCCCTTCTTCCTTTCTCCGAGACTCGAGCACGAACGGGACGAACGACGGCCACCACACGACGGCAACAACGTGTCTCAACCGCAAGCAAGTACAGAGGGCAGAGGTGGCGAGAAAAACGGTCGAGTACGTTTCCCAACCAGAGGCGCACTAAGGACGAAACTAGAACTTCTCGTGGCGTAGGGTATATATCGCCGTGGGATAAGATATTTTATGTACGGGCGCGCCAGGTAGCGACGGACAGTCAAAGAGAGGATACGCGATCGATCGATCGTTGCCTCGACACACGTTCGGGAGGATCGTTGACGTAGCGCAGGATGACACGACACTACAACACCGCACTGCTGCGTGAGGCGACGTCGAAGGGGACAGAGGAAGACAGAGGGAGAAGGACGAAGCTTGGTAGGGGGTGAGAAAGAGGAGACACACGCGGGAGAGAAAGGGTGAGAGAGAGAGAGAGAGAGAGAAAGAGAGAGAGAGAGAAAGAGAGAGAGAGAAAGAGAGGAAGAGAGGAAGAGAGAGAAAGAGAGAGAGAGGAAAGAGAGAAAGAGAGGAGGAAAGAGAGAGAGAAAGAGAAAGGGAGAGGGAGGGAGAGAGAAAGAGAGGGAAGAACCTGACCACCGGACACGCTGGCTTGGTAGGCACGACACACAGGTAAGCGGAGTGGCACTTAGGTTGGTGCACCTGCCGCGAGAGTCCGCGTCGTAATGGGAGCGGGGCAACGGGCGGCAGGTAGGCAGGCCCACCGCTCGTCAACCTGCGGAGAAGGGGAATCAGTCACATGGCGAGGTGCCCCGCGCTGCCTGCGAACAAGGAGGTGGTAGCCGGGCCAAGTGGTGGTGGACAAAAGGTAACCGGTGGTGGTGGTACGCGGAGCGAGGCGACGGTGGTGGCGGTCGTTGTGGGTAGGATGATATCAGCCTAGGACCTGGAGGAGTAGGAATCGAACGGAGGACCTCGAGAACGAAGGTGGTGCGCGCACCTTCGCCTCTCGAGGAGGTAACCTGTCGTTTCGGCATGGGTACGGTTCCTTTCGTCGCTTTCGAGGGNGCTCGTTTCCCTCGTCCGGGACGCGGCGATGATGAGACGAAAATGATGCGATTCGATTTGGCTCGATGGGAATGGGTATTTTTTCGACCTCTGATGAATTGGGTTTTTCTTTCGGGCGTGATGTTCGAACGGCGAGGTTGAGGATGATGATGATGATGATGATGATGATGATGATGATGATGATGATGATAATGATGACGACGATGAAACGTGATTCGGTTTGGAGAGTGTTTTGATTTGGGAGAGGAGCTTGAGAATTGGGTAGATATTTTGTTTTTTCTTTTTCTTTTTTTTTTTCTGAAGCTTCGAGGGGGATTTTCTAGGGGGATCTATGTTTTTATTTTCGATGAAAATTCAAAGGAAGAAGGATACGACGATGAAATAAAAATAAAAAAGAAAAGTGATTCGTCCATTTAGATTTCATCGATGTTCGGACAAAAGGCAGACGCGGTACTTTCGTGTTTCTCGTGTGCCGACTATGGCTTCCTACAAAGGTCGTTGCCGAGTTCCATATTTGGATTCAGCGAAGGAACAGAAGGGTATTGAATTCCAGGCGTTTCCACCGATCCACGGTTACAAACCCGATGGCAGATTGTCTCCCGACTCGTCGTCCGGGAACGTCGTACGCTGTCTAACTACGTCTTTCTTTACGTCTCTAGCTGTACGGAGTTACGTTTCGTCTAGGTGGACAGTATATCGATAAAACGAGACAAGAATGCCTTGTTCCATCCCCGAGCGGATATGGATGCGGTTTCAGAACAATTGCGTGTACCTTCAAACGTGACGATCACCGATTCAACTGTTTTTAGAAATTGTTATACGATAGGATAGGCTTCGCCTGTCAAGCGATTTTATCACCCGAGAAAGAAAAATGAGATATTTTACGCCCAATGGAATTTATTATTCCTTCAAGTTAAAACCTCGTTTCCTTCCTACCTGCTTTTTAACTTAAATATTTTCAATTTTTAATTTTACTCCCATCTGTTACCCTTATCAATTAATATAATTCACAGTAATCTCTGAAAATTCAAGATCAACGTACAATATATCCTACACGCCACTTTTACACCTTTCCAAACTCTTCTTCCATCTTCCTCCACCTAACCTCCATTAGCGCAACATCAAAGAAAAAGGAAAATCGAAGCAACTCCCTAACGAAACTCCTTGCACTGGTCCATTGCATTTAACGGCATAACTTCGCGATCCCACCACGCATTGACTCGCATTGACTACGTCGCAACATCGTTATCGCCGCGGAATATCGCCGGTGTCCTGGAAGTGTTGCCCTAGGCGTCTCTCCGCGTGGCGACCTAACCTCGTCTCCGCAACCGTGCACGGTAGGGTGGTAGGAGCAGCACGCTCGAGCACGGATGAGAGCTTGTTAGGTTAACCATCACATTGTTTCACGAGGGCGTGGTGGCGCGTTTGTTGTTTGCAACGAGAGTGCGTGGCGCGGAGGAGAGGCCGCCACCTCTTCCCGACTCGCCTCTCTCTCTCTCTCTCTCTCTCTCTCTCTCTTTCTATCCATAGCGACCGCTATGGGCCGAAGATCGAGTCGTGGCATCGGGAGAGCGATATATCGCGGCCGATATATATCACTCGGCGAGCCACTCGACTTCCATACGTCCGCTTCGAAGCGAGCGTACATATGTACGCGTGCATCGCCCGCGGGCTCGCTTCAAGGTCCTCGTTTAGATATCCGCTCGCTTCGAGATTATTCGAGGGAACGCGACGAGCTCGCTCGCTCGCTCGCCTTCCCCTTCATCGACGCGTCGTCCACGCGAGAG